TGACCCACTTCCAACTGTTATCTTGTTTCTCAGGGCTTAAAAAAATGTTTCAGCCCTCTTTGCCTAACGGTTCTTGCATATTTCCACCTTACTGTGTCAGCCTGCCTACCAGCGAAGCATCTCCAGGTGGCCATCTGGTTGGCCAAGAGCAACAACAAATGTTGACCAGCTGCCAATTCTTTGGTCCCGTGCTGGTCCTACAGGGCAGTCACTTTTTGGTGGCTAGCAGACACACCATTTTTAATTTTTTTTTTTAAAACCAGGAACCACAGGGGGAGGGATAAGATACAAGGGGCACGATGCGCTCTTCTCCCCTTGGTTGTCAGTCTGATCTGCAAAAGCACTGCTGTAACAGCAACACCAAACGCGGCTTGTTATTTGTATTTGCAAGACGCCATGGGTGGGACGGAGGGGCCGTCGTTACGGATACCTCCTTGCTCATAAATCCAGGATGCTTTTTTTTCTTTTTAATCTGTAATCTGATAATTGCAGATGATCTGAGAGTGGCGCAATTGCTATGCAGGAACTGCCTCTCTTATCTGATAATTAACAGATAACAGAGAGGCAGTTCCTTCGTAGCAATTGTGCCGCTCTCAGACCCTGCCAGTTGCCCTGGGATCAGGTTGCCCATATGCTGTGCTGCTCTTTTCTCCTCTAACAGATTTCTCAGTCTAGAGAAATAGAACTGCTTATTATTTCTGACGCTCTTTCTCTGCATAACGTTGCACACCTCAGAAGAGAGCACTGTGATGGGTACAGTATGTGGGATAAGCCCACAGAACAGCTGTACAAGATTAAAAAGATGATTTATAAATCTAGAGAAGGAGCAGTTAAAAGAAAAATCTGCCTGGGATTCTCTAGGGCAGGGGTGTGCGAGAAGGTGGACTTTTTAGACAGATTACCTATATTTAAGAAACAGTAATTTTCAGACTGGGAAGTTCTGGGGCAGAAGATGGCAAGTGCTGGAAAGATGGGGCAGCGGGCTGGGCAGATTGCTGGGCAGAAGGGACAGACCGATTTAGCAGATGGAGGCAGGAAGGTATGTGAAAAATCAGAAAGGTTCCAGGGGCTTCCACTTCTCGTTTTTTTTTACACTTATTCCTCAAGTTGAACTGCTCACACTTTCAAGAGACAAGCATCGATGCACTTTTTCTTCTTAGCCCTCTGAAATGTCCTCAGTACCAGCATTGCCGGCGCTCACTTTCCACGGACCTCTGCGCTGTCTCGCCTCTGATGCAAGAGGCGCTCCAACTGCCCCGCTGATTTCAGCGACAATCGCCCAGCCTTCGCCTCCAAATGTCGAACTGGCCGCGGATCGTCGCTCCCTCCGAGCTGAGATCGGCGCCCACCTTGTTGCTGTTCCGGAAGGCCCTGAAGAGCTGTCTTGCCAGCCGGCCCCCGGACCCCCGCTGAAAGGAGCCGACCGAGGGGCCGTTTGGATCGTTGTCGGCCACTGCGGGAGCGGGCGTTGATGGGGTTTTGTATTGGGGATTTTACTTGGTAAGCCGCCCGGAGTCGCCGAGTTCACTCCATCAATCGCCCCACATCCAGTCCCTGGGAGCCACCCCACCGCAGGTCATCTCCGCCCCCCTGCTGACCAAGGAAGAGGACGAGGCAAGAAGAGAGCGCCTGTGCCCCTTTTCGGCTTACTGTCCCGAGGAGAAGCGGCGGCCTCAGCTCCGCCGAACAATTCTGGAAGGCCCGGCCAGCCTGCCCCCTCCG